CTTCATCAACTTTGTTACATCACATCACAGGCTTCGATTTCCCATTGTCCGAATACCTCGCCAACTTATAGCCACCCATTTGCCTCAGTTCCACTGGGTCGGACCGGTTCAGGGATCTATTCGACCAGCATCAAGCAAGTCAGTTCATTTATTGATACCACACGGGTCGTCTGATCAGTGCCTACCAGTAACGTGGGTGGGTGGTGACGCCGCAGCGTGTGGCATTTCCTAATGTTAATACCCTTGTACAGCGGACACTGCAGGCAAGCTTCACTTCATAGTCCTTCACGGAGGCTTTCTAGGCAGATAGATCATGACAGGTGTTCATTCGAACTTCTCAGCGAAGGTTTGTTGAGGAATGTTGCGATAAGTTAGACGGGTCAATATCATGTCGTAGCGTGGCAGTTGTGGGCGTTTGATGATCTCATTGGCCAGCTCAGGTTCGCTCTAGAAACCAACAAGACAACATGTACAACGTTGACTTCACGACGTAACCGTCGCTTACCGTTCTTGGCTCCCACTAAATTTGAAACTGAAGTCTTCTGGTCACGGACCATGGTACCCCTGTGATGCTTGACCATCTCTCAGTCATACACACATGGCTCGATTTCTTCTGTGTTGATGCGGCCCGTCAGGGCTTATAGAAATGGACTTGCCTCCGGAGTATAGCTGTACAGCATGTGAGGGTACACGGAACAAGACCGATTAACTTAAGCCTTCTTCGGTCAACACCCTCTTCCCAAAACAACTTTCTTCTGTGCTCGTCGAGATACGCGATGTCGACGGTATCTTTACCTCTAGCAAAGGTCAACAGTACTGCAGGCTGGCCGGCGGGCACAGGTCTTGAATATTATGACGCTAATGCTGAACGCGTCAGTAAACTCATTGACGAGGCCTTGAAGGTCAGTGTAGTTGTTCTATTGCTGTTGCTCAGAGCTCATGTTACGGTTCTCTCGAATAGCAAGAGGCCCAGCGGAAGAAAGAGGCGAGGAAGCTGGAAGTCAGCGGTGCGTTCGACCAGACTATATGTTCGATATTTGTATTGAGTTCTTCCAGTCCTCTTGCTAGGACAATCTGAGTCGGGTACGTCTACCGCTCTTAGAATGACGCGTGCCTCGCTAAGCTCGACACCAAAATGACAGGCAAGTCCACTTTACACAAACAATTTCAACTATTTTACGCGTCCCACACTCTTGAACGTGAACGACCCTCATGGCGCCCTGCAGTCTACCTCAACATCATTAGGGCTGCTCGAACGCTTTTGGACGGATTGGAGCACGAGGTAGCGCAGTCGATAGATAACCCTCCAGATCCGGATTTCCCTATTTCAAAAGGCATAACGGACGAGGTCATGGGAATGTCTATGATCCTACAGCCCCTTCTTGAAGCCGAGTCTCCCCTAGCATTGGAACTCAATGGAGGTCTTACTGGACGTGCTTCCGCATACGCACGATATGGATGGCAGGCGCTGATTAATCCTCGGCGATCTAGCAGCGATACTCTCACGGATCTGACACCTGGAGCTCTACGTGTGGCGGAGATGCTTAGATCTCATGCCCAGGCCGTGGAGAGGTTATGGCGGTACCCGCTCGTCATCAGCTTACTTGCTCGTCGAAAAATGAGAGTCGAGGAGTCTGCACCATAGTATGTGGCCATCCCCGATGTGAAATTTGCTTGTCTTATTTGCTCAGTTTTTTAAATGCTCTCTCACGGATATGCCAGCATGATTATATGCCGACGACGGGTAAGCCATTGTGACGTATCTTAGACGCGGTTATTGAACCTTTTACAGAGGATATCCTCCACGTCCGCATGCAGACTCTTGGGGTTGTCGAGCATCAATTCCTTGTTCACCAAGCGGGAAAAGACTATACATGGCGAATGTACGATGTCGGCGGAGCGGTAGGGCACTTACTCGCATCCCAAAATCATATGCTGATTTATTTTGACGTGTTCAGCGTGGACAGGTTTGTGATTTGACTTCCAATGCCTATGTCGTCTAATACCCTTTCCAGCGACAGACTTGGATACCTTATTTTGACGATGGTAAGCATCTTCCTTCACCGATGTCTCCCCCACGCTCTGACGTCTGTTTCTCAGCGACGGCTATTTTGTTTTTAGGTTGGTAACCTTTTCAATTGAACGATGCATCTGGCCAACTTACCTTCACGACTTTTGTAAAGCTCCTATCAGCGCTTTTGATCAGGTCGGCGTTAACCTTCCAGTTCCTGGGATGCCAACTCAAGTTACTCAATTTCTCTTCAGCAACTTGCGGAAGATGCAGGGACGAATCGACTTGAGGACTCATTGCAATTGTTCACAGCCATTTGCTCGAGTAAAATACTCGAAAAAGCTGGCTTGATCCTTCTCCTCAACAAGGTGCGAAGCTAACATACCATCAAGCCTCAATCAATAGAACTCACTTTCACATGCCCAGGTCGACCTACTGAAGCAGAAGCTGGAAGCGGGGAGGAAGGTCCGCAAATAGTATGTGCCGAACAGTTGATAAAGTTCAAATGTTGGCTAACTGAGGCACTTTGATAGTATTCCGAGCTATGGGAACCGGCCAAATACGTACGAGGGGGTATCAGAGTATTTCCGTGCGCACTTCATGCAGGTACACCGAAGGAATGACCGGACACATCGAGGCCTATTCGTGGTGCGTCCCTTGATACTCGGTCGTCCTCCAAAGTGTTCACCGTTATCACCGCCGATAGCATTTTACTTCGATGCTGGTGCGCCCCTCGAATTGAGCAATGCCTTCTCAAGATTCTGAGATAGATTTCTCACAGGATACAAGGGCGACACATATTGTGATAGCTGATGGTACTCCTTTCTCCATTCTTTGTGACGTCTTTCTGATGGGCGCTGTAATAGTTGGGGACACCATTGTCCGAAAGCATATTGCGGATGTCGGTCTGGCGTGATGGCTAATATCCGACCACCTAGGCGTGTATCATCATTATTCACCATTTGACCTTTATCTATCCATATATGTAGTTGTATGTCTTTGTGCTCTCATTTAACTTGAGGGTTGAATACCAGCGACGAGCCATGCGCATGAAAGTGTTGGATTGTAATTGTATACAGTCGTACGTACTGAAACTATATTGGAGTCGTACGTATCATTTTGCCTTTGGCTCTGAAACTGGAGTGCCTTTGAGCCTCTCCTCAACAAGCTCATTAAACTCTTCTCGCAAGATTGTCTCTCTCCGCTCGCGTTCCTCCTTCTGCAACTTCAAGATACCGCGTTTCTCCTCCGCACTAATGACCTGGTTCTCCTTCCGCATACGTACGGCATTCATCCGACGGTGGCGGCTTCCACTCATGACATAACCCACATCCTCATACTTCGCAATCTCGTCCGATGTCAACCCAATCTCACCACGACGTGGGATACGTGACTCGGTGCCGTCCTGCAAGAACGCTGCCATCGCACTACCTTCGCCACGGAGTAAAGATCCACCGTAGGACCGCTCGTCGAAACGGCGGGCGTTGAGCTTGACCAGAGGTTGCGGACCAACGTCGTCGTCGTCGTCGGAATCTTCTTCTTCAGGCTTGCGGGATGCCGCCGCCGCCGCCGCTTCGTTCACCTCACTGCTGCGAACAGGAACGGGGGGAGGTGCCATAGGAGCTTTGACGACCCATTCATCCTCCTCTGGCTCTGAATGGCGTGAAGGGCTGCGCTTGGCATGTTCGGGGCTTTTGGTTCGGGGCTTGCTCCTCGAGCGGTCAGGCTCTTGCCTCTTTTGCCTCTCGTCCTCGCTGTCGTCCTCGTAGCTCTTCCGACGCGATTTGCTCCTCGAGCGAGACCTATGCCGCCGCCTTTCATTTTCCCTCTCCCTCTCCCTATCCCTTTTTGAGCGCTTCCTTTCTTTGCGTTCTTTCCTACGCCGGTCTTCATCCGAAGACGAGTCACTAGTCGATGGAGATCTTCTCCTTTTGGACTTTTTGCTGGATTTTGAACGTTTAGGTGACCTGCAGAGCAGTGAGTTTCGGTAATGGTAGTTTTCTCAACAATGAACGTACAAGTCACGAGCAGGAGCTTTTGGAGATGGTGGCCAGACATTAACTACCTGGTTTTCGCGTTGTATCCTTCGTCTGCAGACATATGTTAGAGATTCAATAACAAAACAGGAGGGCGAAATGCGTACCCTTCCATAAAGTCGCTACCACCAGCTGGTCCTCCACCATAAGAACCACCAGCTTGAGGGGGTCCATTTCCAGCTCGGTTGCCGTACATATTCTCTGGGTGCCTCCAAGGTGCCTGACCTTCAGGTTGTGGAGCTGGTCGTCGATAGTCGTCGTATTGCGGGCTGGCTCGTCGCTGGTCGCTGCGGTCTTCACGATCCCTGTTCCTAGCACCGTCATCGCGTCCTCTCCTGTCCTCTTCATGTCCACCCCGACCATTCTCCCTTCCTCTGTCACTGTCCCTTGTCCGTTCGCGGCTCCGACTGCGCCCTCGAGAGGGACTGGGCCTTTTCCGTGCCGGCGAAGGAGACCGGCGACGCGATGTGAATGCTTCCGGTCGTCCACCAGTCTGAAAAATCAAAGCCATTCGCGACGGGTGAATGCTTGCCATAGTGGCGTGGTACAAGGCGATGACCAAAGGGAGTCACTGTTCGCTAACAGTTCATGCGGAGATTAATAAGACGGCAAGTTGCCCGCCAGTAGTTACGATTCAAATTGACCATTAAAACCACAGAGAACATACAAGTAGCATATAACTATAGGACTCAAGAATGCCTGCTTCTCTATACACTGTATATAGAACAAGGCAGCAGCAGGCTTGAGGGAACTGTACCACATCGGAACTTGGCGGACTTCGGATAGTTTCGGCATCATCCGCCGACCTTGATTTTCAAGGTCCGCCGACGCCACAAATACACAATAATACGTCCTCGAAAGCAACTTCTTCCTCGCGTGCCACACGGCCTCAAATCGACTCTGTTCCACTTCAGACAACTTCCTATATTTGAGTTGCTTTCAACAGAGTCATCGGCCTTATGGTCTAGTAGTATGATTCCTCGTTTGGGAGATTGATCTAGTCAGTCAAAAATTCGAGGAGGTCCTGGGTTCAACTCCCAGTGAGGCCCACCTTTTGTCTTTAATTGCGACTTTTTGTGGCAGGAAAAGTTGCCTAGGAGATCGACCACTTTCTATGGATGTTTGAAAACACCCTCGGATGTCAGTGAGTGTGAATTTTTGTTCGACGAATATTTTTTCCCAGCATGTTACTTCGCAGTCAATCACACCGTGAAAACATTGTTTTCTAGGTTGAAGAAAATCTAGTATTAAATATTCGTGAAGAATACGTGCATAGAAAATGTAGCCTGATTATCAGACGACAGTCGGTATTGCTACGTATACACTTATATTGTCACGGTCGACCTACATGGATCTGGAAGAAGACCGTGGCACTGGTCAATCCAACTCAACTCAACTCAGACAAGAGAATGAGAATAAAGGGCACATGCTGCGCCTATACACTGTGCTGCCCTGGTGCTGCCGAAAGGTGCGCCATTAGATGGAATTGACGGTCATTTAGTGGTCACTTGGATACGATTTCAATGCAACGCGCGGTGGCTTTTTTGGTCTCATCTGGCAACGGGTATTGTTGGTTGACTGCGGGGGGTAGCCTTTGATATTCATCGTAGAGCATAGACGTAACATAACGCACCTGTCCATATATGCCGTACCACCGTGAGTATACTGTGGATCTCATCTCGCACAATGCGGGCATGCTTCCGTGTTTGTTGACCACTGGTCCTTGCAAGACGCAAATTGATTGATGGGCAAGAGGTTTAGTGGTGACCCATGTGCGATCCCAAAAGTTTGAGAGCGCATGTGACGGCTCAACTGCTGAGAGAGGATTGCGAAAATGTCGCGGACGTTTGAGGGACGCAACATCTTCGTGATCGACGCAGAAATATTTCGCCCAGTAATCATAGACATGGCGTGAAATTCCTACCGATAAGAGCCACGCATGCACCATCACAAGCTGACCATGGCCAGCGCCGTCGAGTCTGGGGCTGCATTGTAGTGGGTAGTCATTAGATATTCGTTGCAAAGCAAAAACGTATATCATAACGCACCAATACGTGTATCCACCATCAAGTTCATGATAGAGCCAGCCGCGTCGAGCCTGAGAGTGGAGGGTATCCATGAGATTTTGTTGCAGAAGAGGCGTAATTATCATAACGCACCTATATTCGCATGGCCGACCACCTACAACTCCCAAAAAATACTTTCGGCCACCCATTGCTTAGTTCTTTCACCTTGTACAACGAAAATAGGCTTCTGCATTGGCTCATCGTCGGTTTGATGATGACCTCGTGCGATCCCAAAAGCCCGAGAGCGCAAACGGGATTTTCAGCTCTGGAAGAATACCACGAAAATATCGCAGGCCAAAACACTGAAACAGTTGAGCCAATGATCGAGGCGAGACTGCCATTGTAGAGCCATGGACTATCCGAACCTCCCTGGCAATGGTGAATGCTGTTTGACCTGCGCATGCACGACAATCGGCCATTGAAGGGACCAGGGCCCCAAGTGCAGAAAACATCGAAAACATCGGGGGCCTCACTGACACCAAGGTACCGCTATGGCACCGCTCAAAAAACTATGCTCGAAAGTCGAGGCGAAACTCCAAAACATATAAATGATCACTCAATGTGTATTGGGCCCTAGTTCTGCAAGAAATAGTCGCATTGCAAACTCCTAGCGGTATTCGAATGATCTTTGTCGAAGCGAGCCAAATCGTGAAGCCGGTGTTCGAAAAAATTAGCCACCCAGTCCCAGGCCAATCCCTCTCACTAATCCATCTCACAAAAACCGGGACGGAGCTGAAGGGCCATATTCATGTGGGTGTCATAATATCTGGATGAAAACATGGGTGCCTCCTGCTGCGCCGACCTCTCCTGCGTTCTACGACTGCAACTCCTCTCCCATGCTTAGATGTTCAACTTGGTCCTTCTCCAGTGGCGGCGCTTGGCGTTGTACTGTAGGTGGAAAGTATAAATTCAGTAAGTTTCCTGCCCTCGAAATCAAGCCTTCACACCTGGATTTTTGTGTCAGTCTTGAGACGGAACCACTGGGGGATCGGCCTGGAAAGCATCGCTCGTTAATACGCCGATCTGGCTGGGACATATATCTGATTACACACCTGTTTTGCCGTCCTGCCTTGGCGAGAATTCTTTTGGTGCGGAAGGTCTTTTGGGAAGGCTAATCAGAGCAAACCATATTCAGCATTTCGTCCATACACGCCCTAGGGAGCGGCGAAGCGTACCATCGTCGTCGGCGTGGCTTGTGGTGGTGTCGGACGGATAGAAAAATAAGGTTTGGCGGGTGGCACCGACTGTATAGTTGTTGTCCCAAGCTTTCCTCTCTCGGGTACTGCCGAGGCAGAGTCTGGTGGGACTGGCGGTCGGGCCGAGACAGGCACGGGACTGACACGTCGCGTGCGTGGGGTTGCTATTTAGGACAACGGGAGTTTCTCCGCGAACGCCACCTCATCCATCCTCCAGTAACCATGAGACTCTTGAACTGGCTCCCTCTATTCCTCGCCGCCGCTGCCTTTGCTGCTGAGCCACCCACAGAGCTTGTCGTTGAGACGACACATCTGCCTGCAGAGTGCCCGATCAAAGCACAGAAGGGAGACGAAATTCAAGTTCACTACGTGTGTACCTAAGCCCACTCTTATGTCTAGTGGAAACTTACATCTTGTAGACGGGCACCCTATTTGATGATCCTTCGGAGCCGTTTGACTCTAGGTGTGTGTCCAGAGTGCTCGTCTTCGATGCTTGTCTCAACCTCTCTTTCGTAGCCACAACCGCAACGCACCTCTTGGAATCACACGTATGCAGCTGCCGATATTATACCGCGACTTCTATTCGTCTTGACACGTATTTCCCAGTTGGTATTGGCCAGGTTATCAAAGGATGGGATCAGGGACTGCTCGGCATGTGTGTCGGCGAGAAGCGTCACCTCATCATCCCCCCGAACTTGGCATACGGTGCGTAGTTGGTGTTTAAAGTTTGTCTTTGTATCTCACCACGACTGTTAGGCTCCCGTGGTGCCGGTGGTGTTATCCCTGGAGGCGCTACTCTTGTCTTCGAAACAGAAATGGTCGCCATCAACAGGAGGGAGCCAGAAGTCAAGGAGCCCGAGCCAGAAGTCAAGGAGCCTGAGCCAGAAGTCAAGGAGCCTGAGCCAGAAGCCAAGGAGCCCGAGCCCGAAGTCAAGGAGTCAGAACGCGACGAGCTTTAATTACGTGTTCCCCTCCGACATGGAACCATCTATTTACTATATTTAAGCTGGAGATAGCGACGGAGTTCAAATCAAAATGGGTTCTCGTATCCTCGTGTTGGCTTGTAAGGTCCTCGACTTGTGGTATTTTTGACGTCTGGGTCTACTATCCACGAGGATCATAATGTACAAATTTTCAATGAGTCTTTGACACTTTCTGACGTGCATCATTGCAGGATATTGCAGACCACCATAAGGTCCCTGTGAACTACGTCCCATGTAGCCGGTTTCTCGCTCGCCAGTGTGTATTTGTGGCGGGTTCAGCCACAGTGCGGGGTTTGCATTCAGCGTGCCAAGACTTGACGCGTACGGGTCACGTTCATGACGTCGAGGTCATCATCATCGTGGCGTACTTTGACTTCCGCGGTATCTTCTATAGCAATGCAACGCGTCCTATTCGCTCAGCCAACACACCCTGATCAATCTTCTGAGTAATCGCAAGCAATCACAATGTCACTCAGAACTTGAGTGTGCTGCTTTCCGCCTTCGATTGAATCTCTTTGCGCTCAAATTCGATCACGCAGACCGTCATTTCTGCATCATCGACAAACTTCTTGAGCTTCATGGAATCGCGCATCGTCATCATTGCTCCAGTAGCATGCGAGAGGTATATATAATCCAGTTGTTTCCATGCAGGCATACGAATGCAGTACAAAGCTATCACTCGCATCACCACCGCCCGTTATCCTCTCAGAGCCTTTCAGCGCACCAACCTCCCACGAACGGCCCTCCTCGCTCGTACAATGGCCACTCATAAGCACCAGTCGCTCATGGAAGCCATCAAGGAGGATCATCAAGAGGTATGCACTTCTTGCTGCGTATGAACGCAACATATGCTCAACGATTGTAGATGTACGAGTACTACGACCAATATTGCAAAGCGAAGGGCAACGCCGACGCGCAGGAGCGCTGGTCTCGCCAGCTGACGTGGGAGGTGGCACGCCATGCAGTCGGCGAGGAGCTCGTTGTCTACCCTCTCATGGAGTCCCACCTTGGCGAGAAGGGGAAGGAGCTCGCCGACGAGGACCGTGCGGACCATCAGGTTAGTATTGTCGTCGATGTTCTTCGCTTCCGTTCATTCATATTCTTTAGGTCGTTAAAGAGCAGTTATACAAACTCGAGTCGTGCAAGCCGGGCACGTCGGAGCATGAGGCCTTGCTTAAGTCTATCATGGATCATTTGCACGAGCATAACGACAGCGAAGAGCAGCAGGATTTACCTCTGCTCGAGCCTGCTCTGGGGGAGGAAGGTAGTAAATCCGCGGCCGCTAGTTTCACGAGGACGAAGCAGTTTGTCCCAACCAGGTGCGTAGCTAACTGTTCTCGACACATAGATATAAATTCATCTATGTCGCAGGGCTCATCCATCTGCGCCGAACAAACCGCCTTTTGAGACTCTCGCTGGGTTGATGGCGGCGCCCTTCGACAAATTGAAGGATGCTTTCTCAAAGTTCCCGACCGAGGAGATGAAGGAGAATGCGAAATAGGTTGAGACTCATGGTTCTTTCTGTACATTATTCGTTGTCTTTTCTACATCATTAGTGATAAACTCGTAACTTTCGTCCGAACTTTTCACCCTTCGCGCTTTTCACCACCTTTTTTTAATTCGTAGCCATGAAATGTTTTCGCGTAGCCCTGATCCATCAAGAATAGTGTGATTTTTAGGTTGAAATATGCTTTGAGTAACAAACACGAACTATATGATACATACAATGTTATCCATAATTGTTCCATTGCTGATAAACCGAAACAAAGAACTCAATCTTCGAGACCTGACTATACCCTCAACA